GAAGGAGTGTCAACTGAAGGATTTCCCAGATCTCGCCGAAACATGCAGATGAGCATGCCTGTGGGAGACTGCCTTGATGCTTAATGGATTTAGGAGGGTCTGGCTCACGGTGGGCAGCACTATTCCCTGGGCAGATAGCCCTGGGCTTTAGAAGAAAGGTAGCTAAGGATGAGGATGTGAGCTGTGCAGATATCGAGAGAAAGTACATTCTAGAGAATTTGGAGAGTTCGTACAGGGTCCTCCGTAGGATGGTGCCTTGTGTGTTCTAAGGAGAGAGACATGACAGGCTAAGGAGTGAGCAGTATGGGATGAGGTGAGAGGCAGGGAGGGCTGGAAAAGGCTGGGATACCCATGGGATATTATAAATCATGGTGACAACTGAGTGGAGGGCTGGATGCTTACTTTCTCTATCCCTGATATACAGAGGACAAGAAGATTAGAGGCAAGAGGAGAAGCGGATAGACTGGCCCAGGCGGGGAGCATAGAAGGCTGTGTCCTCTTGATGGCAGCGAGAGATCCGAAGATTGCCCAGCCATGGGGAAAGAACACTTTTTAAAAAATTAATTATGGGGCTGGAGAGATGGCTCAGTGGTTAAGAGCACTGTCTGCTCTTCCAAAGGCCTGAAGTTCAACTCCCAGCACCCACATGGCAGCTCACAACTGTTTATAACTCCAATTCCAAGCGACCTGACACCCTCACACCAATGCCCATAAAATAAAATTGAATAAATTTATATATATATATATATATATATATTTTAGGTCTAGCTAATTTTGCTTGAAATAGTAATAATTCTATCCAGTTCCCTAAAAGTAACACACTTTTGTTCTTTATGGCTGAATAGAAGGCCATAGTGTATATATATCATACATTTTTTTCTCCTCTCCTCTCCTTTTCCCTTCCCCTCCTTCTCTCTTCTGAAACAAGGTCTCACAGAGCCCAGGTCAATCTGGCCTCAACTCAAGTGATAGCATTTCAGATGTGAGTCAGTACACCTTGCTTTTATGGGACTGAGAATTGAACCCAGACTAGGCTTGTACTCTATCACCTGAGCTATCCTTAACCCTAATTTGTTTTTATTTATGGATGCGTGCATGTGTATCTCCCTAGTAAAACTGTACTAGCTTGGGGCTGGGGAGACGGCTCAGCAGTTGGGAACACTGGTTTTTCTTAAAGGAGTTGGTTCAATTCCCAGCACCCACATGGCCGCTCACAATTGTAACTCATCCCAGTAGATCTGACTGCAGGCATGTGGTACACGGTCATACAGGCAGGCAAAAACACCCACAAACTTTAATAAAAACAAAACAAACACTGCTCAGAAACAGATTGTGTGCCTCAGTTAGTAACTGCTCACTCAGTAACTTTACTTCGATGCTTATTAAAAAGGGCTATGGAGTAATCCTTACACCAGGGAAAATGGAAAATGGCACAAATCTGGGTGGTAAGCTGTTCTAGCTGCACGCAGAGGATGCTTCCTCAAGGACACGTAACTATGCAGGTCAAGCCATACAGGGGGCTAAACGAAGATAAAGGTACCGACTAATGAGTCTTTTTTGCATGAATCCACATGTAGGCTGTATCAATCATTGAGGGGGGAAAAATAAAAGAGGGGCTTGGGTCTAAAATAACTTCTGCAGGTGGACACCAGGGCTAGCTTTGCATGAGAAAATGGGGTAATACTATGCAAATATGAGGCGAGAGTCTGAGGACCCAGTTTACGGTAATCTGATCTTCTCTACTGTGCATTGTTTGGCAGCTTGGGGAAAATAGCTTCTCCACACAGAGGATTTTGAAGGTTTGTGTCTGGCCCATGATGAAAAGGTTCTAAGAAACAAACAAACAAACAAACAAAAAAAAAAAAACAAAACGAGAAAGCCATGGAGAAAGGCATACTTTGAAGCACAGAGAGATAATGCTGCAGCGAGCAAGGACTCTGCTTAACTGAAATAAGAAATCGTGTTGTATGGAAACGGTAAGTTTTGCTGTAACTGTCCGATTTGGTTTTCAAAAAGGTAACTTTCTGGGTTAAAATCATTTTGGTTTTCTCTCTTAGACAAAAGAACTTTCTCAAGTATTTCTGTAGTAGCTTCCCCCAGCAGGGCCTTTGGCCATGCTCTCAGGGTCCCCCTCTTGGCTGAGGAGGAGATGGTGAGCAACAGGCACTTTGTTGCCTTCAGCTGAGTGCAAACTGACAGTCCTGCAGTTTGGGAGCCAAACTGCAACTCCTTCCATCTGTATCCCGGGACGTTTAAGAATTTGGACAGGCTCCACAGGAAGGTTTACGGAGCACTTAATCAAGGGAGGTTACATTTCAGGAAAGCGGCTTTCAGATCCAAGATAAAGGCGGGGTGTAAAAACCAAAAACACAGCTGCCTAAGTCAGAAAGGTCCTTTGATTGCCTCTGCCCTCAAGACTGCGCCTCTCCCAGCTGAAACAGGTTGGTTCCTTCTTCTTCTTCTTTTTTTTTCTCCTTTTGACCTGAATATGCATTTTTTATTTTTTTTGTAAGCCCAAAAATTTTGTATTTTTATCTTAGTGGAGGATGGGGGACTTGGTGCCTGAGTTTTAAACATTTACATGCACCACAAAGATCTATTTAAGAAAATCTCTCCACTTTAACCTACCGAGAGGAAATCATACCATTGCTGATTTGTGAAAGTTTGTCATGGAACAAATAGGGTTCAACAAATCATTTCTTTCTGCTCTTTAAAATAAATGTTTTTGACCTTAAAATATCTAAAAAAAAAAAAAAAAAGCATTTAAAACTCTCCCTATATCTGCAGAAGGGTACTTTTGCAAATAGTCTCTGTTCCCATTCTGATTCTCTTACACTGTTGGAAAGTCATCCTGACTTCCAAACACCTGTCTTACATTTTATTTGGATCTATTGTTCTTTATCAAGTTCAAGATTTCTGTGATAGCAGAGAGGAAAGAACAAAGTTCATATTGTGTTAATAATGATTCATAAGCCATGGAGGCTACAGGAGTCTTCATTAATAGAGCTTTTGAATCATTTTCAATGATGAAACAGTCACTGCAGACTGATGCTGCCTTGTTTCTGCACAGTAAAGACAATCCCTCCGGAGCGACTTCCCTCAGGGGCACCATCACTTTGCTTTACTCAGTTAAAGAAGAGTTAGCAAGTTAAAGACCCCCCCCTTTTTTTTTTCTTTTTGAAACTGAATGTTCTTTCCTGTACTGTTTTGAAAATACTGTTTTCATGATTGATTCTGTAAGATCGAAGATTCTTTGAAGGACAAAAATAGCCAAACCAAAATAGAGAAGCTGAAAAAACAGTAACAAAAATATTGACAGTCATTATAATATTTATATTAAAACTTGTGAATTTTGTGTAAGTTTTCTTGTACATTGCAGTGCTATTAGCCGGTGTGTGATTCCTGAGTGCAAGTTAGGAGACCCCTAACATACCCTCCATCCATTCTGCACTAACAGCCTTATATGGAGTAGCAAAATCTTCAGAGCTTAACAAATATTTAATGAGCAGCTATAGTGTACCAGGTATGTAAATAAAACTTCAGTCACAACCAGAAGTCAGACTGCTCAGACCTTGGAGAACTTAGAGCTGGGAAATACATTTTCTCCACAGGATGGAGTCAGATCACTGAGAAGAGTCTTCTAGGGAGGAAAACTCCAAGCTAACTTACTCGTGAGGGGAGGCAAATAAGAACAATGCAGATGCAGAGTGTGGAAGCCAACAGCTGGCCACTCAGCATGTTACTGTCTACTGTGAGGAGCTCAGGGAGGGGAGGGATGGCAGGAGGGAACCTTGGCTACCACTGTAAGGGGCTTGTGGTATGTTTTTCTCGGGAAAGTGAAGTGCCGTCCAGGTAAAGAACTAAGCGAGGCAGTGGTAGATTGGCAAGTTAGGAGGTACAATACCAACTGACAGCAAGAAGAATGTTTTTGACAAACGGTTGGTGAGAAGGATGAACAACAGTCAGATTCTAGCATTCAGTGGGAGGTGTGTGTGTGCGTGTTTGTGCGTGCGTGCGTGTGTGTGTGTGTGTGTGTGTGTGTGTATGCAAGGTAAAACCTGAACATGCAAACCAGGTGCGTGGTGGTTCACACCAGCACCCCAGCACTGGGGAGGCTCGGGCAGGAAGATTGCTAACAAACTTACAGACTAACAGGGAACTAGGGATCGAGGAAAGCAAGACATCAAAGATGGTGCTAATTTTCAGCTGAGAAGGACCAGGGGACACAAGTAGTGACAGGGTTGGGAGGCAAGCTGGCTAAATGAGGCTTTCTTGTAGGAAAGCAAACCAATGCCAAGCAGATTTATTTAAATTAAAATTATAAATAGCACTAGAATAAAAATTTTAAGTATTTCTTTTTCAAGTAAAACAACTTATTTTAATTTATTGTAGATATACTCCACAAGACTGAAGTTACATTTATAAAAAAAAAAACAAAAACAAAAACAAAAAACGCAACATTTCTTCTGCTCTTTGATTAAATTTTACATTATAAAAACCAGACTGGGTAGATGGCTCCATGATTAGTGCTTGCCGTACAAGTGTGAGGACTAGAGTCCCCAGGGTGCATGTAAATGAGGGTGCTCACCTACAGCCCTAACACTCAAAAGATGGAGACCAGATGTCCACAGTAAGCTGGCAGCTCTGGGTTCAAGTGAGAGCCCTCATCTCAGTAAGTAAGGTAGAGAGTATTTTAATGACTCCGAACGTCAACATATGTGCACACACACCCACACACATGAACAACACACACACAAACCCCACACAACAACTCAGATTACTTAAAAGTCTTCAACTTTACCTAGGGTTTAGTAACTAAGGGCTGGGATATTGTCTGTTGGCCATGGAGAGACGCCAGTTCCTTCTTGCAGACTTGCAGGAACAGAGGACGGGGGAACTGACTCAATGTGCTTCCCATTAAAGTTTTCATAGTGAGAGCCAGGCTCACATGTGTGACTGCCACAATCTGTTCTTTAGAGGAAACACAAGCCACATGCTGGGCCAAAGCCGATTCCTTTTGAGCAGTGCTGAAGTGAGTGTTCTGTTTTCTTGCCATCCAGCTTGGTGCCATGGCTCTGGAGCAGAACCAGTCAATGGAGTACTATTATGAGGAAAACGAGATGAATGATACCCATGACTACAGTCAGTATGAAGTGATCTGCATAAAAGAAGAGGTCAGGCAGTTTGCGAAAGTCTTCCTCCCTGCCTTCTTTACCATAGCCTTTGTCCTTGGGCTGGCAGGGAATTCCATAGTTGTGGCAATTTATGCCTACTACAAGAAGCAGAGGACCAAGACAGATGTGTACATCCTGAACCTAGCTGTAGCTGACTTGTTACTTCTGGTCACGCTGCCTTTCTGGGCAGTTAATGCAGTTCATGGGTGGATTCTAGGAAAAATGATGTGCAAAGTAACTTCGGCCCTGTACACAGTAAACTTCGTCTCTGGGATGCAGTTCTTGGCTTGTATCAGCATTGACAGATACTGGGCAATCACCAAGGCCCCCAGCCAATCAGGAGTGGGGAGACCCTGCTGGATCATCTGTTGCTGCGTGTGGATGGTTGCCATCTTGCTGAGCATCCCCCAGCTGGTTTTTTACACAGTGAATCAGAATGCTCGCTGCACTCCCATCTTTCCCCACCACCTTGGAACATCCCTGAAAGCATCCATTCAGATGCTGGAAATCTTTATCGGCTTTGTGGTTCCCTTCCTTATCATGGGGGTGTGCTATGCCATTACTGCCAGGACACTCATCAAGATGCCGAACATTAAAAAGTCTCGCCCCCTCAAGGTTCTGCTCACGGTGGTTGTTGTCTTCATTGTCACCCAGCTGCCCTATAACATCGTCAAGTTCTGCCAAGCCATAGATGCCATCTACCTGCTGATCACCAACTGTGACATGAGCAAGCGCATGGATGTTGCTGTCCAGGTCACAGAGAGCATTGCGCTCTTCCACAGCTGCCTCAACCCTGTCCTCTATGTCTTCATGGGAGCTTCTTTCAAAACCTATATCATGAAAGTGGCCAAGAAATATGGGTCCCGGAGAAGACGGAGACAGAATGTGGAGGAAATTCCTTTCGATTCTGAGGGTCCTACAGAGCCAACCAGTTCTTTTACCATTTAAACACAAAACTGCGCTCTGCTCTTTGCTTGGATACTCACATATGAGGGACGTTTCTTCCTCAGATAGAATATTTGTGTCACACTGAGACTCAACTGTCAAATATCAAACGCTGTTGCTGCAATGGACAACAAGGAAGCATAGGGATGGGTGTGGAAGGGCGACAGACAACGGAGAGGCAATAACAAACGGGCAAAATGTGGAAATTAAAGCTGGTGACAGGAGAGGAGAATGGCAGGAGGCAGAGAAGCACTGTACCATGAAGAGGACGGGTGTGTGGTGGGGGTGGGGGAGGTTGCATTTTCACAGCAGTGGTGGCTACTCAAGTCTAGATGTGCTATCTGTGAACTTCACTCCTTGGTGTTGGCCGTGACTATGACTATGTAATATGAAACACTGGTCACTGGGCACCCAGGACCATCCTGTACTATCCTTGTAACTTCCTATGAGTGGACAATAACTTAAAATTAAAAGTTTAAAAAAAATCATAGCCAGGCACGGTGGCCCACACCTGTAATCCCAGCACTCAGGAAGGCAGAAACAGGTGGATGTCCATGAGTTTGAGGCCAGCCTGATCTACAAAGGGAGTCCAAGACAGCCAAGGCTACACAGAGAAACCCTGTCTCAAAAAAAAAAAAAAAAATCATGCCATGAATCTAGCAATCTAAAACCAATTAATAAAGAAACTTAGGCTAAGAGAAATTCACAATTATTTGTAATTATCTAAATTTTTAAAAGAATGTTATTTTTGCAATGCTTAAATGATAATTCCAATGCTTAAATAATCACAAAAAACTTATGTTTCTTAATTTGTAAGTGATTTTATAAGATATAAGAAAGAATGGCAATAAAAAAAAGGCCAACCCCATAAACTTTGCTGAGATGTTCACACACTCGGGAAAGTTCTTAAACATGTAATTTGCTTTGATGATGTCACCAAAGAAAATGATCCAAATACATGCTGGGTTCATCATGCATATTCTAGTACCCAGCCTTAAAAAGCATGTTATCTAGAGTCTAATTTCATAATGTCCTAAGGAACTTGCCCATGTATGTTGGCCTATTACTGAGAACTAATGAGCAAATATACTAGCCTATGTTAAAAGCGTATTTTGCATTTAAACGCGTGTTTTAGGCAATAAAATATGTACCACACATACCATTGTCGCTGATATTTAAGACTGAACCCAAAACACACACCCCACATGTGTTCTACCACCATCGATCTACACCCAGGCTCCACAATTTACCAACTTACCTTTTCTCTTGGCACTGTTCCTAAGTTTGATAATGTTTCAGAGGCAGAGTTTAAAGTTCGGGACTGTGAAGCAGGGATGGGAACAGATAGCATTGCTCTAGCAATGGGGTGACAGGAACACAGAGAACACTCACCGCTGCTCCACCACTTCTTGCCGTTAACTACATAGCCATCTCCATCTCGCTGGATGCTGCATTCAATGTTTGTGGCATCGCTTGATGCAACATTGGGCTCTGGAAGAGAACAATGGCTTGATTTACAGGCAGGCGGAAATCAGTCATTAGCTGAAGAGGCTGAAACGAGAAAGCGCAAGTTCTTTGAGGACAGAGGGATGCTGGTTTTTATTTTATTTTTTTAACCTTTTTATCTTTTCGCTTCCCTCTTTGTCCTTTGATAACATACACACTGTAAGCATTCACTAAATATGAATTGGAAGATGGAGGGAAAAAGTGTGGGATCAGTACTAACAACTGTCTTCTTGGTGCCTTCACTGATGTCTGAGTTGGGATGCAACTCCCTTGTCGTTTTTCTAATCACCAAAAATAGATAAAAATACTGCCTTTGACTTTCCACATAAAGATTTGCTCTAACTATTGACAGGCTGGATTCCTCTACTATTACTAACGAGTTCTATCTGTACCTGTACGTGCTCCTTACAGGTTGTTAGGTGTGTCTGCCAGGCCACACCTAACAACATTCAAATCTTCTCACCACTTAGGTCTCCACAATGCTTTCTGTACAGCATTTACAAACCACTCTCACCTTGTCCCTATATTGCTCTTATGTTTATTTATTTAATTTATTTTTGGTGTGTGTGTGTGTATTAGCATGCTCACATACTGGTACACATGTGTAAATGGAGACCAGACATGACTTCAATTGTCATTTCTCTTCAGGCTCTTGTCTACCCTGGGCTTTTTCTTTTTTCTTTTGATACAGGATCTGTCATTGGCCTGATACTTGGTGATTGGCTAGCCTGGCTGGTCAGTGAGCCTCATGGATCTTCCTGTCTCTACCCCCCCCCCCCAGGACTGTGATTACATCTGTGTGTCATAAAATCAGGCTGTTTTATATGGATTCTGGGAATGGAACTCAGACCCACATACTTGTATGGCAAGCAGACTGAGCCACACCCCCAGTTCCTTTCTTGCTCTTTTGAAGTGAGTCCTTAGATACTTGATGCATTTTGTTTTAAAGCTGGAAAGCTGTTTTCAGAGAAAGGGGTTGGCAAGCTTATTTCATGACCGTAAGCTGTTCTTTGTAAACACTATGTCATTGCGTCATTCTGTAGGTGTTCAGTCAGCGCCTTTCCATGATTTAAGTAGAAAGAACTTTTGTTATTATATAAACAGTTGTAGAAAATGACAAAATCTGGCCATGAGTGAAAGGTCACGTTATGACCAAATCAAATTTAATTTCAAACTGAGTATGAGGTGATACTGTTCATCTTTAGGGAATGTTAAAATTATTGTTTCCAATGTACAAGCGCACTAATATCATTCCCATCACCGTGTCCCTGGCTGTCTCCTCCACACTGTGGTTGCAGCAATATTTCCACAGGTTTAAGTTCTGTCTCTCTAGGGCTATGGAACAGTTGAGTAGTTCATATTCATATAAATATCACAGAGATGAATGTCAATGAGCAGTAATTGTAGAAACAATGGAATTTAAAAGACATCACCCAACTGTTCATGCTGAAGCAGACTGCCAGGCCACAGCCAGAACCCTCCCGAAGGATGGGAGTGTTTATCCTGAATGCTGGTGGCATTTAAGGATGTTCCAAGCCAGGCTCAAAATAAACACATTGCTGGCCATGAGCAAAGTTGGCTACAGCCGACCCATATCCTACACTGCTTCAGTCCGTCCCCCCACAATAACCCCAGGACCGTGATGACGGAGGACTGGCTGTGATTTGTTCCTACCTGTCATACAGAAGACAGAGGTGATCTCCCCACGCAGGAGAGGCTCCAGCCACTGCTGCTTCTGCTGCTCACTGCCGTACAGGTGCAGGACCTCCATGTTGCCCGTGTCTACACCGGAGAAGGAAGTGTTGGTTTGACACTTGAAACTATCAGTGCGAAATCCACATTTATGGAGATAATACAGATGGTATCTTTTCAAATAAAATGTTTGTTGATGAAAATATTCTGAAACGTACATTAAACAGAACATCTAAAGATGGCATGCTGTATCATTAAAAGTACCCGGCTTCAGTTCATTCCGTGGCTTTACGGAGGTCTAACTCACTCAGGACTGAAGCATTCCTGACTTAACCTCTGACTGTGTGACACTTGTATGCTGTGCCAGGAGTGACTCCATGCTCCTGGAGAGGAGCTGATCCTCTATACTGAGGCTCCAGCCCCTAAGTGTGCACGCTGTACCTCAGGCACACGTGTTGGGCCAGGTCCTTGTGAAAGCCTGCCCGGCGTGGGTAAGTAAACTGCTCACGAGCTGCGTTCCCAGCAAGAACCTCTACTCACCCACTCTGAAAGACCTCCTTGTCCCGAACTGCAGCAATTCTCATTTAGCTTTCATTGTTTGTTTGTTTGTCTGTTTGTTTCAAGACAGGGTTTCTCTGTGTAGAGATTCATTTTGTAGCTTTTGCTCAACAGGGCAGCAACTTTTCGAGGGAGGGCCTTAGCACCAGGGCCATACAATAAAAGGCAGCACTGGGGACCGCTTGGCAGGGGCATGACAGGAATTTCTGCCAATTAAGTTTACGGTGTGCTGGCAATGAGGGCTGCAAGCCCCTGGCAGAAACAAAGGCAGCCTCCTGTGAGAAAGAGCTTCGCACAATGGAGAGACTGGGAAATCAACAAAAGGCCCTGGAAATTTCTATCACTTCCAGCTAGCCACAGAAATATCCAACCCCAACCAGGAAGAGGGGTGTTTATACAACCAGTCCTCCTGGTGGCTACTTCTGTCTACTGGCACTCTTAATGTAATGGCGCTGATTACACAGCTCACTGAAGACCTCAAATCCACTTTGCATTCAGAGTAGCTGAAAATTATGGGAAAATTTCTAAGTGAATGACTTTGTATAGGAAAACTTCCTTATAATAAAGAGTTCTTCAACACCCTTCAAAGCATCAGAGAAAATTGCTGTAGTGACCTGGTGCTTGGCAGTTAAAAACATCTGGAGCAAAAAAGCATTTTCCTGTCTCTTCGGCAATCAAGGCATAGTCCACCTGGCTGAGACCACTCACAGCTGGCAAGAACAAGTTCCACAGGCCCTCTGCTTTGGCCATTTCCTGTCAAGGGGATGGACAAATGATCAAAATTTTCCAAACAAAGAAGCTTATTTTAAACAGATATTGCTGTTAATGGTTTTTTTAAGTTTAAAAACATTTATTGAGTTGTTTCATTGAATTCTATACTGTATTAAATCAAGGGGTTACCATCTCAATGTAGAGCAGTAGTTTGTTAATAATTGAGGAACTCTCTTGCTTTCCAGGCTTTCTTAGGTTTGGCTCTAAACACTAGACCTGCATATTTTAATGCTTCTCATTTAATCAGAACGATTGCAATCATGCCCATCCACATCTGAGTGTAATTGTGCCAATGTTTTATGCGCTGTAGTTTATTATATGTATTGCTGGTAAGATCTGGAAACATGAAATGTGACTTGACACCACTGCGGACAGATGTCCTGCTTTGTCTCTGCTCCTTGCTGGACAAGCCCAGGGCCTTGCATACACAAGAGGGGAGTTCTTTCACCAAGTTACAGCCCAGCCTCCATGTCCCACTGCCCTCCTCCGGCCTCCCCTCACTTCAGTGATGGCTAACAAGGAGCAGCATAAAGAGATTATCTTCATCAGAACCACATTCGGAATTCCAAGTAGCCCAGTCTTGATAGTAAATTCTTTTCTCCCTTTTCTTTCCTTCCCTTTTTATTTCTTTTTCCTTCCTTCCTATTTTCCTCCCTTCTTCCCCTATCCCTTTTCTACTTAACCAGGGACTCATACTGTAGCGCTGACTCACTACATAGCCCAGGCTGGCCTCTACTTGGCATCAATTCTCCACCTTCAGACTCCTCCCAAGGACTCGGATTACAGGTGTGAGCCACCACATCCACACAAGATTTTTTAAATCTCAGATTTTTAAAAATTTAAGTTATTCCTCATGGCCAGGCATGGTGTCACACGCCTTTAATCTCAGCACTTGGGGAGGCAGAGGTAGGTGGATCTCTGTGAGTTTGAGACCAGCCTGGCCTACAAAGCAAATTCCAGGGCAGCCAAGGCCATTACACAGAGAAACCCTGTCTTGACAAACAAACAACAAAACCCAACAACAACAAAGAAAGTTATTCCTGGAGCATGAGCTATCATGCCTGTCATCCACGCACTGGGGCAGCAGAGGCAGGAGGATCACCACAATCCCAGCCCAGCCTGATCAACATATCAAGATCATAAAGAAAAGAAAAAAGAAGTTATCACTGTAGTTATCTGTTACCCATACAACAACAATAATTAAGATCCCCCAAATGTACGCATTTCCGGATGTTGAGTACTTTTTTTTTTTTTTGTCTTTCTTACCTTCAGTTTTTCAATCACTAAGGGGTGCCCCCACTTTTCTGTTGAGCTTCCACTTTGAGCATAGTATTCAGCTACTTCCTGAAGATGGTGAAGGGAGAATGATTAGGCCAAGTTAATACAAAGTAAACATTGTCATGAGTAGTGTATGTGTGAGTGTGTGTGTACACATCCACCCGCATATGTGTGGTTTTGAGACAGGGTCATGCTATGTAGCTCTGGCTGGGCTGAAACTCACAATTCTGCATCAGCTGCCTAAGCGCTGGGATTACAGGCATGTGTCATCATCCTGGTCAGTAAGGTTTCTTCTTAACCTTAGATGTAGAATATTAAAAATTCTAAATGTTTGCTCATCAAAAAGTTATGACACCTCAATATTAGACAGTACTAATCATATACCCAAGATGTAAGTGTTCTGCTTCCAGCAATAGCACACAAGTGGGCATAGACACCCCCCCAAAAAAGACTGGGTGAAACGTTAGCAATTAAAGATACATTAAGTAATGCACAGTTGTCCCAGAAAGAAAATAACAAAACAGCTTTTCTCTTTAGACAGGCGGGAGGGTGGGCTAAGCTCGTCCTCTGGGCTGTGGGGGCTGACCTAGGCTCTACATGGGCAACCTCAGCAGGTGTGCGGGTGATAAGGCCAAGGGCTGAACACAGCAGAGGGGAGCATAAAGATCTTTCATTCTATCAAAGCCAGCTTGAGCAGTAAAACCTAAGTAGGGAACAAGCGAACAGAGAAACACACAAAAATCTGCACCTTTAGAGACAGACCCTGGGGAGAAGGCCCTCCACACAGCCCTCAGCTTGCAGTGAAATAGAAAAACAAAAACAAACAAACAAAAAACAACAACAAAAACATCATTCCCTGAAACCTGACTTTACCCAAGAATGGGATCAAAATGCCAGACATGTACAGCCCTCAAGCCTCAAACCCAAGTTAGGTTTACAATGTTCTGCCAAGAGTGGCCACAAGTCACTGGCAGAAACAAAACCAGCCCTTCTGGAGGAAGGAGCTTTGTACAAAAACATATATATAACTTCTTAGAAAAAAAAAATTCGCCCACAGTCCACCCTGAAAAATCACTAATCACTCCAGGAAACCAGACATCACAGGCAAGAATCAGCAAAAACAGCACGTCAACAAAAACAATCATGCTTCCTTAAAACCATAGATAATGTTCACATTCATGGCATAAAATACTTGTGGTCAATAGATTGCAGGAACAAAGGAAGGAATTACATGTATGACAATGGGCTAGTAAAACTGACAAAGAGAACTTGAATCGCAACCCAAGGAAACAAAAGCCTTAGCAACCAAGCTTAAAAATGTTATCATGGCTTCTCAAAGGTTGGTGGGACCAGAGGCCCCTGGAGACCTAAAGACTGATGGAGTACAGTTCCTAAGTCACTTTGCAGAGTCTGGGCCCCTGTTCTTTAAGAATTCTCCAGGTATTTCTGACACTTTCCAAAGTTAGACAATAGCAGACTATGGAGGCCTGAACTGTGGTCCAGGAACAGTTAAAACAAAACAAAACAAAACAAAACAAAACAACAATAACAGCACTGGAGGGCAGATCTAAAGAACTTACTCCACACAGAAAAGAGAAGAAAAACATGAGTGAAGAAGGATATAATTGATTCATGAGGTCGAGCGGCTGACTCTATGGCAACAACGAAGTTAGAAATCAAGAGGAGAGCACAGTGAGACAGCACAGAGGGTAAGGGTGCTTGCTGCCAGACGACCAGAGTTCAATCCCTAGGACCTGACTTCTATGTGCATACAACCCCAAACAAATAAACAAATATAATTATAATGTTAAAAAAATCAAGGGTGAATATCTTCAACTACCAAGAGAAAGTAATTAACAACCTAGAATTCATATTCCCAAACTGTCTTTTGGCTGCTGGTGGTGGCACATACCTATAATCTTAGCACTTGAAAAGCTGAGGCAGAAGGATCATGAGTTTGAGGGCAGACTGAGCTAATTAGGGAGACCCTGTCTCAATACATAACATGGAATTTCAAAGAACTAGGACAAAATGAAAGCATCATCAATTGGCAAGGACTAGTTACTGCCTCAAAAACAAAACAAAAACCAACAAACAGCAACAAAAGCCCCAGTAGACTCTCAGCAAAGGAAATTGGCTCCAGGAGAAACATCTGAGTTGCAAGAATTAATGATGATATAATAGCAAAGTGAGTAAATCTAAATAAGATTGTTTGGGCCAAACAGTGACTTCTGATTTGTACAACTAAAACAGCACAAAGAAAATACTGGATGAAAATTCTCCAATATTCTAGAGACATATTAATAAACAAATACTTATAGCATCTCTCTATCAACCACTTTCTCAACATTTCAGCTAAGAGAATTACGGGGCTAAAGGTCATGGGTACTGTCAAAACTTTTCATGTGTATCATCAATTATTGTAGATTATTCTTCCAAAATACACTGCTCTCAGCAATGGACTCTCAGCACTGCTAACAATGTTCCTCTAGGGGAAGCAAGGCTAGTCTGGAGTCCAGTGCTGGACAAGGCAGAGGCCTGCACTTTCAAAGGCTCCAGGATGGAGAGCTCTTGTCACATCTGTCAGGAAGTCAGTTAAATGAGGTTTGGGGTTGCATATTATTTCTATTCCCAGAGTTGCCATAAGAAGTCAATGCTATCATGTTTGGTAATAAATATATTAGGAAAGATGTTTATGATATACTCATGCTGACTATCTCTTTTCTGAGAAATCAAATCATGCCTGTGTTTACATGCCCCAGGAGGGCGGGTTCATTTTAAGCCATGCTAAAGAGATAGGAGAAATCCTAATTCCTTTAGTGACTACTATACTTTTGCTTCCCAGAATTAACTGCCCCTAGCCCAAATCCCCATGAGCTATTTGGGGATTGGCTGGCTCTGCCTATTTTTCTGACTCCACTTTCCCTGTTCCCTTCTGTGGACACTGGCCCGGACCTAAGCACGCTTTCTCTGCCACGCTATGCCTCCTCACTCTTCTCCACAGCTTCCCTCCCTGCCTTGTGGCTACCTGATGCCATGCGGTGACTTCTATGCCATCGTACGTGTCATGGCATGGCTTTTCTCTTCTCCTTTGGGCAGCTGCCAAGATGTACCGCTTGACTGCCATGGGGTGCCTAATAAAATTGCCCTCTGCGTCCACCTGAGTCCATTCCTACCAGTCCTTAAATAACGAGACGACGAGCCCCGAAAGAGTCCCTGCATTTATCCGTATCATCTGGTGAACATGAAGGGGCTCCCTCAGACTCCGGTAACATGATCACCATGACCTGTATGTGCTCCTTACACTGCGCTGCTTGTTCCTGTCACACATTTGAGTGTTAGTGTTCATCATTGTCTTCAACAGGAAGAGCTGCCTTGGTACAACTTTAAAGATACTGGTTATGTGTTCATTTTAGGATACCTAAGGAGTTTCAAAAGGTCACAGAAATAGTCCCCCTGACCTTATTTTTTTTTCTTATTATGGAAAACACACAAAAATATTTTAAAAGTCATCAAGAATTTTAGTAGCTAAAGATACTTGCTGTTAAAATGGTGCGGTAGTACACGATATAATATTCTCTAGATGTGCCCACTTGGTTTGGCACCTCATTGAACAGAATTCAGTGTTTTCTCTCCTTTATCTTGAGAATTGTTGTTTAATTGTTGTTTAATACTTGCAATCATTCGAGAGTATGACCCACAGCTGGGCATTAGCACTGTTCAGATCATCTACAGGATAAAACTACACATGTTGGTACAAGTGTCTGCATGAAGACATACCACACGTTATCAGATGTGGGAACCCAGATTTAAAAAGGGCTCCACCAACACAAAGTGTCTTTTCTTACCACACAAGCTTAGGCAACCTTTGCTTTCGCCAGTCCATCTGGGTTTTGTTTGGTTTTACTTTTACTGTAAGTTCTTTGCCCATATTTTCCCAGCTGAGTAACGTGGAGTTCAGAGGCACCACAGCCTTCCCTGACCCTTCCCGGCCCTGCTGCAGTGTCCCTGGGACACCTGTTTGACTTTAAGGATGAAGGAGAAAACCCCTTACTTCCATCTGCCGATCTTCGCTTGTCCTTAGAATCACGGGCTGGTTGCAGTCATGGGCATGCAACAGAGAGGCTTTGTTTCAGTGTGAGCACGTGGAAACTAAATGAACTGATAGGTGAGCTGGGATCTCCATCCAGCAAACAAAACTCCATCCAAACTCCACCAAGCAAACAAAAAGCTGAACAATTGAGGGTGTTGCTCTAGCCTACTCACATTCCTGTTGAAGTTCTGGCTTCCATGAAACATAAAGCATTTTGTTGTTGTTTTCAAGTACTGTGACAGCCTTCTGCTTGGGACAAATACAACTGCTGTGTGGCTGAAGGGGACCAGCCCAAGAAGCTGTATAATTCTTCAAGCCACCTTTGATTTCTCTCTTCTGCTTGCTCTCTTTATCACCCAATCACCTATTTCACCATTATGGAAAAAGCCCACTTTCATTTCAAAATTTTTCAAGATGCACCTTTCTTTATGATGATATATTCTTTGGTATGATCCACTCAGTTTTTCAAATCTACTTTGCATTTGTTTTTATGGTGTGCACCTTTTCTGCTTTCACTGATTAATTCCATTGTCCTAAAATTTAATTTCCTAAAACTTCAACTGAATTTTCTTCGAGGAAGGATAATGGTGTATTCAGACAGCCATATTGAATTAAAAGTGCTGTTTTCCACTTTTGACATACAAAAAGTTTAATTTTAAACTCAAAATTGGACAAACACTAGCCAGAGCAGAAACTACTCAGTGTCACTGGATGAAAGAGGTGTCAATTTTAGAATTAATACTTCAGTATTCTTCAAGCAAATCTATCTCACTCTATGTTAAATGTTCATCTCAGATATTTACCACTATGGCAACTAGTCATATAACTCAATAACCCTAATTCCCCATAAAGGCATCTGACTTCTGAGCACTGTGTGAGACTCTTGGTCTTTTGAGTCCCTTCCTTGACTCTACCAGCCCAGCTCTAAACTCTCACAGCCAGAGGTACTTACAATAAGACTTACTGTACATGGCCAGACTTACTCAGGGTGCAGAAGGAAACTGAGGCTACACAAACGAACCAGCACAAGGCCAACAACATACCCCAGGCATGGACTGGAGCCACGCCCTTACAATCTCCTCACATATACATACCCGTGTCCCTCACACACTGTCAAATGTTCTTCTTCCTTTTCTTTACAGCATTTGTCTTCTTTTTACCATCTGTCTTTCCATTGGGGCACACAAACCCAATCTGTCTTGTTCTCATTTTCAGCTGCTCGCTAGGTGTCCAGTCTGTCATTAGGTACCCAGGACACACTTCTTTATGGGACGAATGGTGCCTCACTACAATCCATGAACTTCTTTGATGTAACCTCTTAGAGCAATAGCTTATGGGAAAAGAATGGGTAGTATTTATGTGACTCAAAATGACAGGCCAAAGGTCACGGCCTTATCTATTTCGGGAGTCAACTCAAATTTTCAGAGCATCCACATTTAAACAAAAGCTGAAGGTCACCATCTTCAGCAAAAAGCAGCTGGACGTAATGTTTTACTCCCATGTATTCAGGCCCTCACTGCCTGTTCCCTTTGGCCTTGCTCTACTCCTGTAGAGGTGTGTGCATATCCTCCAGGCATCTTTTAGCTCTAAATGTGTATGAGGCCGTGATTTAAGGTAAGTGGGAGAATGGAGGAAAGTCTGGCTGCCAGGAGACAACTCATGACAGTCCTTTCACACCTTACCTTCTCGGCAGGAAGGACGTGCTGCTTCATGAACTGCTTAACCTTAGTGAGAACTTCCTGGCCTCTCCTGGTCTGTACAAACAGCTGGCTTTTAGGGTCAGCCTGTGGGAGTGCAGTTTTGAAAGTCCTTGGCAAAAGAAAAAAAAAAAAAGATTACAAAGATGTCCAAAGTCATTATTATGGATTTCTTTAAGAAGTGCTTGGTCTCCCTAGCTAACCAAAAATATCCTTAGGGGAAAATGCCATATCTGGGAGGCCTGGGCTTACTGCTGTTAAATTCTGCTTCCTTAGCTATCTGCAGCTTGAGGAGGCAAGCCATGAGCCTTGCAACAGCCAGGCAAGCTCTACCGCTGAGCTACAACTTTAGCTCCATGGACTATTTTTGGTCTTCATAATATGGAGTAAACATATAATTGCTTTATTCTGATCACTAAGCTTGAATGCTTAAATAACTTCTTGGGAAAACACAAGCCTCACATGGTCTCAATCAGCACTAGCTTTAGTGATGTGAGCTGTTAAAACCACAAAGGAACAAGGAAGTTATGTACAAATCTGACCATTATTCTTCACATGTGTTTCACAGATACTTGTGCAGAACATTTTAAAAAATGACCTTGAAAGACTAACAAGAAACACAATGGAGCCCTTGTTCTGTTGGAGAAAAGTCACAAAGAGAAATCCAGAAATGAGTTGTAAAAAAACAATTATCCCCATGTTGTGTCATGGGAAAGTGGGACTTAGTGTGTTCTTGAGGTTAGTATTATGCACACATTGTATAAGAAGCAGAAATGTAACTGGAAGAGTGGGTTAGACTCCTCAGAAATGCTGACCTGTTAGAGTTTCAAAGACACTTGTAAAATGTTGAAGAAAAAGTAGCATTGCTGTTAATAAATAATATAATAAGATCATTTAAATAAGTATGCGTAAGTAACAAATATTATAAGAAAACATGTTCACCTAAAAAGTTATACATTCAAACTGGCAAAGAACACATTTATTTATAAACATGGGCATTTTCTTTACATTTTTAGGTCAGTTTATTTTTAGGTATATAGCAATTTACTAGAACATGACCCTCACTGGCAATAACAGCCATATCTGGGCAGCAATATACCTTCCATTTTTTAAAAGTTTTGACCTCCCCACACCCAATAACTACCATCTCCTGTTCCCTGGGAACTTAAGAGACCTATCTAATAAAGGCTGTAAATTGAATTGCCCAAAGAATCTGTTTTCCTTACCGTTTTGAGAGCTGTAATCCAGTTTCTGCCAGAGGTTGCACAGCACTGGCAGACAGAAAGCTATCCTCAGATGAATTATTTCCCAAGATGTATCTACTGTAGACTCCCTACAAGTAACATATTGAAATAGAACAATTAAAATTCATTGAAAATGGTCCCTCAACCATCCAATTAGTCTTTCTAGTTTGTGATCCATGTGGAGAACTAAACTCAGAGTCCAAAGATGTCAATCAGACCATTGAGGCTGTGCACTTACATGCAGAGAGAACTGTGTACCTCTGTGTTAGACTCTTGCTTGTGTCATGTAGCTGTGATACTCTAATCCAGGCAGAAGTGTAATTGATAACTCAAACAAAATTTGAAAATGAGCTATTGCCAGAAAAACCAGCCTGCAAGTTGCATTGTCTGTACTGATCATTGCTTTCCTTCCATAGGTATCAAAACAGCATAGCATCCAACACTCAAGCCAAGATGGCAATAAATGAGATGACCTTTACTGTTTAATATCAGTTTTGATCCCTAATTTAGGTAAAACTGTCTCCTTTGAGCAGTGTTGGCTGAATGTCAATCAGCATTTTCACAATTCTCCATTTCTGTATTTCCAACCTAATACAGCCCTTCTCCCACATGACTGTTCACCTTCATTGTCAGTCTGACTGGATTTAGCATCGCCATAGGAACACACTTCTGGGTGTGTTTATGAGTACATTTCTAGAAAGATTTAACTGTGTTCCTGCCTGGGATGAATATGGGTGGCATCAGGCCATGGGTGGCTTCCTGACTAAACAAGGGGAGAAGACTTTTTGGTTTTCAACAGAATTTTAGCTTGCTTTTACACCAGGTACTCACCATGGTCTTCCGCCACAATTCTCCCTACTTTGCCATTACACGCCTTCTCTCGCTGTCCTTTTTTGTTACACAAAAAAGTCATAGCACATGTGACTTCTTCCCATTGAAGTCTTGTTATTATTGTTATTATTATTATTCTAAGTTCTAATACATGTTACTGATATCTGACACTTGGAGTTGCACAGTGGCCTAAGAACTAAGACAAAAGAGCTTGAACCAGAAAACACTGTTCACAGTACATCAGTAAGGAATGGTGAAACCTGTGCTAAAATAATTACCTGTGCTATTCCAGCGAATTTAAAAAATGAAAGGGCCATAAAGAAATTCCAGTTAGGAAGATTAGGATCAATTCCCCTGCGACGGCAATATATTGAAATCAGTTCTTCCATCAATGGTATTCCTATAAAAACAGCCCAAAGCATAAATCTTAATAAAAATCACAAGAAGATACAATACAGCATGCAATGTAAACACAGACAGTATTAGGCCTATTCTAAATAGTGATTCCCCAAGTAATATTATATGCAAAAACTGTGCATTGTCAAAGATTATAAAAAGTGAAATGTTATGTTCAGAAAACCAGTAATATGAATTAGAAACATTTTTAAGGAACAAAAACATCATAAAACTAATGTCTTTCAGCTCTGGCAATAATAAAGAGGATTTAATAAGACTGCTTTTCTGTACCTTTGTTCTCTTGAATGTGAGAGCCTCGGTTTATCATGGGCAGTGTCCTGGGCCAAAAGTAGAACAAGGAGAGATGGGCTAGGTCTGACAAAGGATGGCCGAAGGTCGAAAGCTCCCAGTCCAATACTGCTATCACCCGACACTGCAACAAGATGCACACGCGCCTTTGACACACTGAAATTCCAAACAAACTGAGTGAGCGAGCACAGGACACAGTGCACCTCAACCACCAGATTTCCATCAAAATGCAAGATGAGGTCCTAGTCTGTAGCCTTTGCCCACAGTGGTGCATCTCATTTATGAAAACCAACTAGCCTTGACTGTCTACAAGGTCTCTGGCTCTACTGCTGGCTGCTAATCCTCCTGCACTCCACCCTGACGTCTCTGCTCACAAACAGATGCAAACACAGCTCAAACCTCTCAATCTGGAGGAACTGTGATAAAGAAGAGATTCTAATTACTAATTATATTTTAAGAATCAATGTATAAGAAAGCATTTGCTCTAATGATGAGTCTAATTATATAATAAATATACGATTATGGCAATAATATTTTAAAGTAAGTTATATAAAATAATCAGGAAAGTGCTGATCCCTTCAAGTTGTCTTCTGTCACACACCCCTCCACGCATGTACAATATGCATGTGTGACCCAAGCTCACTGCACACAAGATAAATAAATATAGCTTAAAAAAGTTAAAGGTCACCAAATAATCTTCAGAGTTAAAATGATATGCACCAAGCTAATAACAATAGTTTACTTCAATAGTTTAATAGGGACTGAGGCGGGGGCTGAACTGCAGAGCGGGACGCCTCAATTAGAGATTCTATACAGTGGTGTGACATCGTGTGTCTTGGATTGATTCAGAAAGGACCCTCCACAGCCTATTCTATGGGGACTGTAACAATACTTGGCCAGATGAAACTGCAACGTGAGTCAGGATGCTCCAAGCTTCCTTGCTTGTTTGTGTGTATTTTCAGTCCCTTGAGTCTTTGGAAAAACTTAAGACATATCTGGGCTCTGAATCACACAGATCTATATTTAAGTCAGAGTCTGGGTTACAGATTAAATGACAGTGTCTCAAAAAAAGAAAAAAAAAACAGTGAAGAAAGGGCTGGAAAACAAAGGTCATTGCTAAAACGCTTCCCTGGCTCTAGGTTCAATCCACAGGCACTGGGAGGAAAGGCCTTATTTGATTAAGATACGAAGCTATAGCCCAGTGATACAAGTGATACTATGTAGCAAAGCTTTGAAGAGCTAAATTCAAGAATGTTCTAATTCTCACATATACCTCCAGACTAAATATTTTAATAAAGTAAATACTAAAGAAGACAGTCTTTAAAATGTCAAATGAAGTCACAGAGGAATCCTGGAGCCTGAAAAAGGGTCAATCAAATCTGCTCATTTCAAAGGAGGCAGAAAGAATTACAGGAGCTGGGTGATGGTAGCACAAGCCTTTAATCCCAGCACTCGGGAGGCAGAAGCAGGTGGATCTCTGAGTTCAAGGCCAGCCTGGTCTGCGCTGGAGCGATGGCTCAGCAGTTAAGAGTACTAGTGGCCCTTTCAGAAGACCCAGATTTGGTGCCCAGCACCCACTCAGCAGGTCACAATCACCTGTAACTCCAGTCGCAGGGGATCTCACACCAGTTTTTTTTTTTTACCTCTGTGTAGGTACAAGGCATAGGTGTGGTATGCAGACAGACAAGCAGGCAGAACATTCATACACATAAAAAATGAAAGGAGGAAAGAAAGAAATAAAAGAAGCTATGTGGACATATAATCCCAGGACTCAGGAGGCTGAGGCAGGAGAATGGCGAGTTTGAGGCTAGTCTGGGTTTTGTTTTAATGCCCTGTCTCAAACAGACGAGAAATAAAAGAGTAGAGAGTGAGATGTGCATGATAAAAGATACGGGGTTTCAACAGCTGATCACCACAGGGGCTCAGGGGTGTGGTGGGGGGTGGTCATGCAGCCCTGAGTTTAAAGGTCTAAGGTGGAAATCGGATTTCACCACTTTCACGGGCGGACTGGATATCTGTGAACCCTCAGAGGCACAGGTTTAAAGTCTACTCCCCAGTGGCCTTCCTGATAGGATCAGAGCCTTCACAGAAGATCTTTTGGTCCTCCCTGACCCCCAGCCAATGGAGGACTGAGGAAGAAGGCCAAGTGCAGTCCCAGGGGACGCTGCATCTTAACCTTGGGTTCCTGGAACTGTGAGAAACGCGTGTTTGCTGTTCAAGCCCCTCAGCCTGTGACACTGTGTCATAATGGCCCAGACTGTTACTCTCTCTGCTCTGGATCTTCTCAGTTGCCCCTGGACGTTTTCCCTCTCTTACTCACAATAGAAACCTTCCTCTAAGGATGGAGAAATCATGTTGGTGGTTTCTTTACTGTGTCCCCTTGCACAAAGTAACCAGGGTGCATGACTGAGGAATGTGCTTTTTCTGGCCTACCGCACACATTCCTGGAAGGTTGGTCACCAAAAACTGTTTCTGTTTTGTTTCCTAATCATCATATTCTAAAGACAAAACCAAAACATTACAGTTGTTTTTTTTTTTAAATAAAAAAACCTTAAACCTTACAGAACAATTAAATTTTTAAACAATCAAATTTTAAAACAGTAGAATTAAAATTTTCAAATAATTCCATCCCAACTCCAAAAGTTTTGGTGCTGGGTACTTTTTGTCAGGTTGACCAAAGCTAGGGTCATCTGGGAAGACAGAACTTCAGCTGAGAAAGTGTCTCCATTGGATTGGCCTCTAGGCAGATGTGGGGCATTTTCTTGATTAGAGATTGATGTGGAAGGGCCCAGCCCACTGTGAGTAGCGCCATCCCAGGGCAGGTGGCCCTGGGCTGCATTAGGAAGCAGGCTCAGTTCCAGCCCTGCCTTCCCTCAGTGATGGATGGTGATCAGAATGTGTGAGTCAAATAAACCCTTTCCTTCCCAAGACATGACTGTTTGGTATTTATCGTCACATTAGAAAGCAACTAGGACACACATCTTAAAGATGTAATGTACCTGAAGCTCCTTTGAATGATAGGCATGGCAGGCATTGCAGGAAGGTAAGATGGAAGCAGAAGAAGGAAACGGTAGGAGAGGGGAAGGAGGGGGGGGAGCTGAACTACACTGGGCATCAGCTATGTACCAGGTCCAGCTGGATGAGACCCATGTTGAGGAATGTGGAGGATAAGCTCTCAAGATCTCTCTACATTACCTTTTATTTATGTGTATGTGTGTTTTGCCTGCATCTAAGTGCATCACACATATGGGGTGCCTGAAGGAGCCAGAGGGGGCACCAGATTCTTTGCTGCTGGAGAGCAGCTGGTGCTGTTAACTCTTCATGTTAGTCTACTCAGGAACGTTCCTTCTGTGCCTAATTGTATAATTCCCTTGGATGATATGTCTGCATGTGGGTCTAGATTGTTCTCTTACTGTTTCTCAGTTATCTTTTCTCTCCATCTGTGTTTAACACTCATTAGAGGATATATTTCCTTCCTAATGATTACTTCCTTCCTGAATGTTTCTGAGTGGAGTTGGTAAGAATGCTTTTGACTTGAATTCTGCCAGCCACATGTTATTCCATGAAGAACCAGTAACAATATTTATTTTCTGGTGGCAGAAATTGATTAAATTCAACTTAGTTAATAATTATGAGATTACTAAATAGAAGATAAAAACATTCCCACTATCATATAATCTAAAAACATTCAAGGGATATGAAGCATGTTAACAAATTAGCATTGCAGCTGAGTAAGCATAATCTGTATCTTCTGCTTTCATTAAAAAAATTATTTAATCTGTGTGTGTGTGTGTGTGTGTGTGTCCTGTGTGCAGGGCCCAGAGAGGCCAGAAGATGGAGGGTGTTGGCTCCCTAGAACTTGAATTATAGGTGGTTGATGGCTTCCCTAAGTGGGTGCTGGGAACTGAGCTCAGGTCCTATGTGAGAACACATCCTCAGTGCTTTCTCTTTAAAGATAATCCTTTCCCAGACATTCTGATGACTTGCTTGTCTGAACACAGATGATGCCTGTTTCAGTGTTTTAATTAAGAAATGGGCTTAAAGCCAAAGACTATCTATAGAAGTAGGAAGGCAGTTGGGATTTACTATAGTTTACTATCAGACTCAGTATGTAAGGACTAACTCTAAAATTTTAATGTTAGTCAATAAATATAACCCACTAGAAGATCGAGGTTTAGATTTTTTTTTTCTTACTTGCCTTCAATGAAGACTAAAAGTATCCTGAGTTACAGAGCACAGGTGACTCTAGCATATTGAAAGATGGGCTCTAAAATATCAATAAATCAAATAACACACATTAAAGACAGACAAAATTCTGCTACGTTTTTAGGTACAAGCTGTTATAATTTTCTAGGGTACAAGTTAGCATTGCTTCATTCCCTAAGCTTAAAGTGGAAAGCTGGCAAAGTTAAATTCAGAGTATTTAGTGCCACCGACCAAAAGTTACACACACACACACGCACAGTCCTTCCGATGATTGGACAATGGTTTTCTGGCTTTAAAGTGGTAAAGAGACCATTTACACTCAGTATATACCACACTTGGAATTTTTGTCTTTCCTGCTAGTGACCTGAGGCATCACAGTCCTTGTCAGGCTGGGCAGTCAGAGGCAGGCACAGCGTCGCACAGGGAAGCAACTGACATATCGGAGTGATTGTGCTGCTAAACTATGATGCTCAACAGACTAGGTATCTTGAATGTGTTTTCAAATTAAGCTATTTTCAGCTTGTTCTAGATATCAGTCTATAAACCTGACTGCAAGATGGGCTTGTACAACCACACCCAAGCTGACTTGTCTGCGAAAAACGTTCTGTCCTGCTGGCAAATGAGCTTATGTGTGTTTATGAAATTCAGTTAATGTTGTTCTATTTTTAATTATGCCAATCGTGCTATTCATTTTCTCCCTGTACTCCTCCTGTAGGGAAGAGATATGAAGTAAGAAGCCCCATACATGAGCGATACAAGTCCCACAAACTTAACACTGTGAGGAAATTAATCAGCTTAGAAAATACTCCTCTAAGAAGTAAGACTTGGGAAACTATAAATCTTCATTTGTTTGGGTTCTCTCCAAAGAAGTACTGTGTGTATTTATACAGAGAAAGAGTAGGTTAATCTCACATAATTCTTTATTTGGAAGCCTCAAAGGGGCTTCTGGGATTCTTTCCTTAGCTTATACTAAACAAATTAAAAAATCCCATGACACAGGACAGAAGAGCTCAAAGTGATGTAAGGGAGCTAGAAGAAAGCGTTAGAACATAGGCAAGCTAACACAGAAAGCTGACATCTTTGACAAAAGTGATGCAGAGCAACTTCCAAGTCCTATGTAAGTGATGGCTGTGACAGCGTTTAAGATTAGGACCAGCCCCAGAGGCTGACAGAGCCCTACGCTATAAAATCTGTAGGACTCTTCTCCAGAGGCTTTGAGTTGGAGACATCCTGAGGTGTGGGGAGGAACAGACTGCTCTAGGATCTTTCAGGACTCTGTGGGTCAGGGTGAAGGATGACCAGCGGACATCTGTTTCCTTCTGGAATCTCAGGTCAGACCTACACAACACATCACAAACAGGATTCACAGTACCTCTTTGGGGTGGAAAACTATGTTATCCAGCTTGAAGTCTCCGTGAATCAGGCACTCCTCATTGTCATTATCTGGCAATTTGTTCATTAGCCACTTGGAGAGCTGGTCCATGGCAGGGACGTTCTGATGGGCCGAAGCCTGGTACTGCTTTGTCCAGGTGGATACCTAGAGGTATCAACGAGAACACCACAGATGTGAAATAGAATGTGGGAGCCAGCTACTCTAAAACAAGTTCTTCTGTGTCAAAGTCCATCTTACTCCTACATGCTTAACAAAACATTCCCATTCCGCACATAAAACTCCCAAAAGCCTGAAACACTCCTATGAGCCTAATATCAGCTAGCTCCCTTTTACTTACCGAGGTTTCTATCGGACAAGAATTAAAAATGCTAGCATAGGTGTCAAGAATGGTCTTCACTCAGTAACTACTTCATGGAAGAAAGAAATAAATACAAACAACACTCCCCACACCCCACAAACAGACAATTACACATACACACACACACACACACACACACCACAGCAGACAATTTCTCCATGAAAAGGGAGCTATGAAGGCTAGATAGAACCTTTTCCATTTAACATCCTTTTCCTCACCCCAGAGTATTTTAAATGTACCAGCAAGAGCAGACCAGACTTTGTATTGTTCATAGACTTAGAAGCACAAAATCCACTTTTGCTCAGAGTCCTCTAATAAATGATACCACATTATTTGGCTGTTCATCTCTCTCCCTTGCCCAATGTATGTCTTCTCAATTTAGTACAACAGAGCAAAGGTTTTCATCTCTGGGGTCTTACTGACTGAGGTGCTTAGCTGTGTATTGTCGGGTCAGTATAAAGCTCAAATTTCTCATCTGCAAAATGAGGATAATACCTATGTCTTGTGGGTTTTGCAGAGATTTATAAACAAGAGTGTGCTCGTGTAGCACCCGGCACAGCACACAGTGAAGCCTCTCTCAGACTCTCCCCACCCCACCCTCAGAGGACACACTTATAACGGAAGGTGGCCTGTGTGTGCCCGGCCTTGCTTGCCTGTGGCTGCAGGAGACACCAGCTCATTCTTAACGCTTGACACTATTTCTTTCCCACTGAGTTTTCCCCATCCAAGCAAAGGCATGCCAACGCCCATGCCCTGGACATACAGCTCTCGTGATGAGCAATAAGCAATTTATCACTAGGCAATAAATTCAGGGAAATAGACCACTTTCCAACTTCGACAACCACAAGTTTCTTTAGGGAAAGAACCTATTTCTGCTTTCTTGATACTTAAAAAAGTATACCACAAGTATTAAACTCATGAAAGTTTAATAGATATTTGCTTATCACAACTCAAGAGAGGGGAAACTGAATAGAAAGATCTATTGGTAAACTGAGTGAAAAGCTGATACAGAAGCTTTCACTGAACAAAAGTTATTTTAAAAATTAAATTAGGGGCTGGGGAGATGGCTCAGTCAGTAAAGGACTTGCTGGGTAAGCATGGGGACCTCATCATGACTCCCAGAACCTAAATGAATATAACATAAGAAAGTAAGGGAGGGAAGAGGAAGACAATGAAAGCCAGGCAGGCACGGTGGTACATGCATGGAATTGTAGCACTGAAGGGTAGAGACAGGAGGAGTCCTCAGGCTCATTTGCCAGCCACACTAGCTTGACCAGGAAGCTCTAGGTCAACCAATGCGATGACAACTCAGGGTGATCTCTGGCCTCCATTCCACACCCATGTGCCATACTTCCATGTGTGTACCTGCACAGATAGGTGCAGGTGCACCCACTCAACACACACACACACACACACACACACACACACACACACACACACACACCAACATTATTTCATGTTAAAAATATATCTGGATATATTACCAAGGGTGATATTAAAGCGGCAACATTTCAAAGAGCCACATAATTACCGGTTTACTTTGGCTGGTTGTTTATAGTGCATTATTTCTGAGAACATGACGTGCTTTTTACTGTGGGCAGCTCACCTGTCTTTTGCAGTACCCGACTCCAGTACCGTATCTGTCCAGCCGCAGTGACTGAACATCCAGTGAGTGTAGCCAGGCCAAGGTTTCTATCATAGACACATATATGGCTGCACGTTCTGCTGGGCTAACTCCAGGAATCGAAAAATCACGAAAGATACGACCCTATCAAAGTGATAACAACGGCTGGTTTAAAAACCTGACAAACAAAATACGAATTTTACCGAGTATGTTAGGCGTGGGTTTATTTGTGAAATATGTAAGTGGATATATGCCAAAGGCAAAATACAAGGACATGCCAGGATGAACCTGCAGGCTTTAGACTGCCACACCCTTGAATTAAAAACAATTTGAATTTGCTCTTTCTGTGTGGAAGAGCCCCACCACCACACAAATACATAGGTATATCCCCACCTTCCTGTTCGGCTGCTACCACTGTAGGTAGCTCTTTACTGACACCTAGAGGAGTGTTTAAGAACAAGACAGTGATACCTACCTAGCAAATTTGTTCCTAGTCCATTTCAGGCCTCCCTCATTGTGTGTACTCAAAACAAAATTGTAAGCCTTTGGAGAGGAATTGCATTAAAATGTTAAAGAAACACTATAAGCTGTGGCTGTAACACTTGACTACGACAATGCACCATCTAACTCCATAACTAGAAATAAAAGCAACAACCAAGCAAGACTGTTAACCTACCTGTACACGCTCCATCACATAAAACTCTGTTCCGATGATGGAGGCATCACTGCAGTACAGGAGAGGCTTGGGAACAGGAAATCCAATAGAAAACAAGGCTTTCTGAACTTTGAATTCTCTGTCAATCTAAATGGGATTATTAAAAGCCAGAATCAGAGAAATTTAGTAACTATATGTGATCTAACCTTAACCAAGTCTACTGGTTACAAAACTGTCTCAATACATAAGCCAGAGCTGACAGCAACAATTCCTTTGAAAGGAGGCTTGTTCAATCATTAGATTAAAAATCATGATAATTTAATTGGGGTAAAAAGATGGGCTTTTGTATGGCCCTTGTAGCATGAAGGAAATAGTCTGACTATATTTCACCAGTTTTGTTAAAGAACATTCTCCGTTCTCAGCAGTTCCCTGCTTGCTGGCTTAATCTCTCCCTTCATATTTCTCAAGAGGCTCAGGATGGATTTCCTCTAGTCAGATAAAGGAGCTGAGGGACATGGATGGTGGCTGTAGGAAGGGAAAATCACCCATTCCTTTTGGACATCAAGGAAGAAACAAACTTCCAAGGAAGGGGCATGAAGACCCTTACAGGTACCTGGTCTGTTTTGGGGATCCAGATAACTATGCGGGGTTGGGAACCAGGCATCCAGACTAAAATGGTAGTAAAGCTGGAGTCCAATTACGACAAGAGGAAAAACAATATCCTTGGGTAGGACACATGTGGACCAGAAAGATCCGGGGCCATGGCTTACAGCAGAGCTGTGATACAGGCGATCAAGAATGATTCATGCATGTGCAAAGGGCCTCACTCCAGACTGGGACGGGGCGACTGACCAGTTCTGGGGAGGGGAAACCATGTAGCTCATGATGGCTTCATGAAGTAATGAAACTATGGAACGGGGAAGTAACTAAACCCCAAGTGAGAACAGTCAATAGTACCAACGGCTATTGAAAGAGGTGTGTAACCACCCTGATGCCAGAGAGTGAGAAGGGGCAGAGATGGGCGGGGGACAAAAGGGGTAGGGAATCACAACATGGGCAGCAAAGCTGGAGCACTGCTTTTAAAACCACAGTCGGGGGGCAGCTGAGGAAGTTAATACAAGGGAGTCTACATCCATGGAGACTTGCGCTTAGGCTGAGAGCATGGTGTGTTCTCCTGGGTTCTAGTGGGATATAGTCAAGAAGAGAATCAGAGAGGACTGCTACTAAGGTAGCAATTTCTAGGAAGGGGTGGAGGTTTTCCCTTAGTCATGCCATTTTGGCATTAACAAAAGTTACCCAACTTACTATTTTTTTTAATTTTATTTTAAAAGCATCCAAGTTGCTTCATGTTTTCAGGAATATGATGGAGCCAAGAAAGTCAGAATCTGTGTTTTCCTATTGCTATGATAGCAAACCTATCCACAATGACCTTTCCTGGAGAATGACTAGAAAATTCATGATTACAGTAACATCATACATGTATAGAGTACTCAGAATGCTCTCTAGCACTTGGATTTATGTCCTCTCCTGCTCTCTAAGTATCCTGAGAGATAATTCCAGACTTTGCAGAAAAATTTAGTTTAAAAATTAACTGAGAAAACCATGTTTTAATGTATTTATGAAGTATAGCATGATAACGTGGCTTATGTATATATTGGGTAGTGAACAACCCAGAATATTTAGAAAACTTAATTTGTAACAAACATCTTTCATAATTCTCCCCAATGAGTCTAAAACTCAAAGCCTACTATATAATGATTACTCACGTCTTTTTTTTTAACCACTTTATGATTATAAGATGCCTGAGGTAAATACAGTAAAGTGACTCAACAAGTAAAGATTGTCATTATAGATAATATTCTTAATATGTAGGGAAACCAAAGCATCTAGAACACATCTACAGGGAAGAACAAAGCCCACCAGGAGACCTGGTGTTGTTCAGGATGACAGTTTAAACACAGCTTTAGATTTCAACCACAGATCCTTTTTAAACAAAAGAGTGTGGGCATAAGGTTACTGTGTAATTCAAATGCTGATTTCTATACTGACCATATCTGGTTACAATACTTGGTCTGAGAATATCCTTTCTCAATGTTGTGTTAACACTGTTCCCCAATTGTTCCTTGCTATGCCAATAAAGCAGCTTAAAGCCAATTGCTGAGCAGGGAAGAGAATAGGGCTGGATTTCCTGCCAACCAGGGAAGGAGGAGTTAGAAGAGAAAGTAGGGGATTCAGCCATGGGCAGATGTTCAGGAGGGACCAGCAGAGAAAGCTCAGAAAGAAAAGCTACAAAGTTTAAGTATCTCTGAGATGCACATAGGAAGAAGCATAGTTATCTTAGAGGGTTAAGAATAGAGTTAAAACGGCTCAGTTATGCTGTAAAGCTTTTAAAAATAATACATTTTAAATAAAATATATTATTTATGTGATAATATTGTGATATTGAATAAAATAACTATTTGTGTGATAGCTGGGTTAAGAGAGAAACTGAGAAAGTTTTATAAGAATAAATAACAAAAGGGTAAGCAATTCAAGCGAATATTTAATTAAAAGTGCATTTCTGCTAGTCAGTAACTGTGAGAAGACCTTCAAATGCAGTTTAAATTGTCTTGTGTTTTTCAGAGGCAGTTGCTTGCTGCATATCTGAACCATAATACCTTATGTGCTTTGGGAAGAAGAGAGCCCGGTGGTTTCTTTCTGAGAACATAGTCTTGAGATCCTTTCTGGAGGAAAAAGGTTGGATTGGACTGTCCTGATCTAGAGAAAAAGGTTTTTAAAAGGTCAATTATAAATGTGTCTCCTTCCTGAAATCCTACTGAAATGCCATAAAAGACAAGGCACTGTAGCTTAACACTGGGCTCACCACAGGCATAGTCAGCAGCCTGGGGAGGGGACCACTAGTAGCTTGGACAACTTCATCTTTTACTTACAAACAGGATTGGATTCCATATCTTTCTTTTTTCTTAAGTTCTTTGTTCTAGAATTTTCTCTTGCACAATTTCTTAAGCACTACTATCTGTATATAAACATTTAGCTATTCCTAAAGTCTTTGCTTGGTCCCATTTACCACCTCTACTGCAATTCTCTTCCTCAAAGTCTGTCTTAAAACCACTTCAATCAAGCTTCCATTCCAATCTTTCCACTAATGCTGCCCTTTCAAGGTCACTAGCACAAACCATGACACTCTTCTAACTTCTGGACACTTCTTCTCAAACTCCTTTGTAGCCTCCTCATAGCTCTTCCACTTCTTAATACTGGGGTGTTATGGCTGGGTTTCCAAACCTTCGTTTTATTTAGACTCTTTTTCTAGGTAAGCCTTCTGCCTCGTGGCTTCAAATACCTGCACTTTAACTGCTCTCAAACCTGTCTAGACCAGGTCTCTGCCCTGAATCTATATCGAGTTGGTTACTCCAACACATTCACTTAACTGTCTAAAAACCATCCTGAAACTTACCAACAGAACTTTCATATTTTTTTCTGTATTAGCACATTTCTCATCACTGTGACAAAATGTCTACCAGAAGCAATTTAGGGAGCATTTTGTTGTTGTTTTTCCCAGTCTCAGGGTGTCTGTCTATCTCATGGGAGAAGCATGGCACAGTGGCTCAGTCTGTGGTGGCAGGAGATTTCTGCAGCTGCTTCTCACATTTTGGCAAATCAGGAAGCAGAGTTCCATCAGAACTCATATGACCTTCTCATATGCATCAGAAGCACATATGACCTTCAAGGACGGCTCCCTGCAACCCACTTCTACAAGCGAGGCCACATGTCCCAAAGGTTCAGTTGTAGTGGTCTGCGTGTTCCCAGGTTTCGGGTGTCTTGAAAAAGTTCACATTACTGTCAAGACAGCAAGAAGTTCTATATAAAGAGATGGTGTAGGGTCGAATACACGGAAACAGTGGGCTACTTAAACAAGAGTACCTCAAAGCAGTGGTTACTGCTTGGGTTTTTCTTTTGTGGGGTCCAGGAAGAAGAGCTGTTGCCAAAAGGAATATTGACGGTGGTTCTCTGCTTTGATTGACAGGCGTGGGTTACATTAGTCTTTACTGTGAATGTAAAGACTTTCCCATGATGCACCTGATTTTACTCATATGCATGCCCAATCAAGCATAGGCATGAGATGGTAAATACACAATTCCCCTGAAAGGAGAATCAGAGGACACAATTTGCCTTACTGTGTAAAACCATAAACTAATCCAGACTGGATTGGCCTTTCGCATCTAGTTCCAGGATATTTTCCATATGTTCTGGGACACACATGAATGGATACCAAGCACAAAAAGCTAGTCACCCAGGGACTGATAAGGCAGGAGCGGCCTTCTGCATTGATTGGAGCAGAAGGTACAGGTAGCTTGATTCAGGTAGGGGTTCTACGTGCTAAGTGCGTCATTAGAAAGGTGGCACTTGGAGTGCCAAGCAGTTAAACTTTGCCTGTTCAAAATTCAAAAGCCTAAGCCTGCTAGGATGTTTCACATTCAAACCATGATCCCCTTTAAGGCCACCTCTATCTCAGTTCATGCTGACACCATGCTTAGTTACCATGGCAAAAGAGAACCCGTATGTTTTCCCTTCTCAGCCAACACCTAATCAATCACTCTTTCTGCCTAGGCTGTGATCACCTCTCACCTATTTTGCCCCACCAAGGCCGAACTCTGTAATACAGTGCTGTGTTTCCACCTTTGCTCTCTGTAATCAACTTCAACGCAGCAAGCAGAATTTTGCTTTAAAAAAATGATGACAAATGATTTCATCTTTGATTCACAAATCTCTAAGCTTTTCCACTTCCACTCAGAGCAAAGGCAAAGGTCCTTATGACCATCCACAGGGCTCTCATGGTCCTTGCTTACAGTACTTAGTCACACTGGTTTGTATTCCTCAACGTATGTGGCACAGTTCCAACCCCTGGCCTTTGCTTCAGTGGTCCCCGTATCCAGGAAGCTTCCATAGTCTCATCCTCAACCCCTTCTAGTCTTTGTTAAATGCTTCCTTCTCAATATAATCTTCCTGCTTTTTTCCCCTCCACATTTTCTATGCCCCATAGCACATATAAACCTGCAAATAATATTTAGAAATTATTCTTGTTTATTGCCTGTCTTCCTCAAATAGAATGGAGACTGCAGAAGAGCAATATCAGTGCTTCATACATATTAGGCACAAGAAGACTCGAGTTTTGTTGTATTGAGCTATATAATGTTTACATTGTTGTTTAATTATATTTTATATCACCAAAAGACTTAATATTTGAAAGCTAACATTTTTGTATAAGGAAAAAGAACGTTTACAAGATCTGGAAGGCACAGAATAACTACAGTAAACAAACATTATATTCTATTTTGAAGAAATTACCAGATCTTTGAAGAACTGTGTCTTGAATTTCATACTTACTGTTCTCTTGAAGTTTATCTCCTTAAGCAACATGCTCTATATTTATCCATGGTTTTATGCGTGTTATGTATAGCTGTGGTTGCATACTGATCTGTGGTAGCTCACTATGCAAAGTGAGCAATTTGTTCTTCTATTCTGTTACTAATAAATATTACCGTGTTTAAATCAAACCAAAGTTTTTCTATTACAGGCAACATGATGAATATTCCTGATATCCTGGCATGAAAATTTTTTTTAACTCTAAGAAATAATATTTCAGGGGCAACGGGTGTGCATGTCTTTCTGATCTCAGATTTACAGGGTAATGCCGTGTTGGTCAATGGTAGCTATACTGACTCAATTCTTAATGAGTCCTTAATGTCTCGTATCCTAACCAATACATACACACATATAAACTATACATATGTCTATATGTATACAAGAGTGCTTGTACATGATGTGTGTGAACATGCATGCCACCATATAAGCAGGTCAGAGGACAATTGTGTGAAGCTGCTCAAGAAAGACTTTGAGCTCCTAATCTTACTGCCTCTAGTTTCCAAGTGCTAGGATTACAGGTATCACCACAACCTATTCCTGGTTTATGCGGCAGTGGGGATTGCTAAGGGGAGCTCTGCTCTGATTACTGAGGCAGACCCACAGCCTGGGAACAGCTTCTTTACAAACAGTAGTATTTCATAGAGATAGTAATTATCCCACCACAAGCTTTTGAAGTCTTTTACCTGTGGCTCTTTCCCTTTCCCCAGAGCTGATTCTAAGTGTCAGCACTGTCATATAAGTTCCATAAACATGTGGGTGTCTCTCTTGTAAACTTTCTCTCTCATCGGCATATTTACCTACCTGTGTGCTGATAATATGCCACCTTAACTCAGATTTCCCACTCTGTTGTTCGTTAGAAATGTTTCTGTCAACCCTATGATCTTTCACATAAAATTTAGAAGCATTGTTTGTTTTTTTTTTAAATAAGAGAAAAATAGGATTTTGATTGACATTGATTTGAATCAAAGCTATAGATCAGTTGGGACAAAAAGCAAAAATTTACAATACTGACTTTTCCTGCTGATGTATGTTACTTCTAAATTTCTAAGATTATTTTGAAAACTGACAATAAGGTTTTGTCCTGTTCTATACAAAGGTCTTACACAGCTTCTATTATACTGGTGTTTAGGTAATTGTTTTTGCTTTTTTTTTTTTTTTAATGTTCTTAACAGACCTTTTGAGTGTTATATTAACTGTTGCTAAGATATAGAAATGCAAGTGATGTGTATACTTAACTTTAACAAACTATTACCTATGTAGCTCTCCAACACACAAACCAATTAGTTCCTACATTGTATTTATTGGCCGTTTTCATCCTGTGAAAATATTTGCATGTATATTGTGAAATGTATGGTTTTTCTTTTCATATTTATTCCCTGGAAGGGGGTGGGCACATGCGTGGCGGTCAGAGGACAACTTGCAGGAATTGGCTCTTTCCTTCCAATGTGTGGTTTCCAGGGTTGACTTCAGACTGCCAGGCATGGCAGCAGGTGCCTTTACCCGATAAGTCATCTCACTGGCCCAAACTTTTAAAAGATTTTTGTGGCACAGTAAGCTTTCAGTTTTTATAATTTTTCATATGTCCTGGAAATGAATGTGTCTTCTCTGTGGGACAGCATCAATGTTAAATCAAGCATGTATAACATTTCTGGAAAAATAGATTTTTCAGACCAGGGACTGCTACACAGCCCAGGGTGGCCTCAAACTCACAATCATCCTTCCCTAGTCTCCATGTGTTGGGATTAAAGCACCCAGGCTTGGCTTCCAAAATATTTTTTTGTATCACAGCTAATTTCATTTATTGATCCTGATTTTGGTGAACATTAACTTAACTCAAAATTGCTTTTAAATAAGGGCTGGAGAGATGGCTCAGTGGTTAAGAGCACTGGCTGCTCTTCCAAAGGACTTGGGCTCAAATCCCAGCACCCACATGGCAGCTCACAACTGTCTGTAATTCCAGTTCCAGGGGATCTGACACCCACACAGACATACATGGAGGCAGAACACTAATGTAAATAAAATAAAAAAGTTAAAACGATATTTTAAATCAACAGAGGACTACAGTAGCCTGAGGATATGTAACCTTTATCCGAAAGCAGGATGACCAGTTGGCCGACTTTCACACTGAGTGGACTATTGCTCTTTGAACTTTGATCGGTTTTACTCTGTTTTCCAGTACAAAACATTAACTTTAGAAGTGTCAACTATTTTTTACTCCACCTCTCCACAGATATTTCAATCCCGAAGCCCTTTCGCCTACATTAACTCATTTCCTTATCAAGACTAATGGGAACAGGCAAATGTTACAAGAAACAAACTCTGGTCTCCGAATTTATGTTACAGTTAAATCCCCAGGTAGAAAGGCTAGGCACAGCTTATTGGAACCATATAAAAATGGAAAACTATCTATTGTAAAACATCAGACTAAACTCAGATTCATTTGTCAGTGGGGAAAGGTATTCTTCAGGGCCATCTCATCAGTTTAATTCCCTTGCTTCAAGAACTTAAGCCATAAGCGGTGCTGAAAACGGCTAAGTGGAATGTCTAGAATTTGAGTTTGTATATTTCAGGTGGTGTTATTAACCTAGTCTCAGATGACTAAGGTCAATTAATCAAAATGGCACAAGCCCCTCAGAAAATGATCTTTAGGTCGTACCACAAAAAGATCACAGAAGGTATCCAAGCGCGTCCAGCCTCATCTCTCTCAGTGAATTAGGCACATTATTTTAGTCCTTAACAAGACTGCATTCCATAATGGATACTGCACCTCTAAGACTGCCCTCCAATTCAGGCTAGCCTGAGATTCGAGGACAGATCATGCAGGAAGCGTCCTCGAAGGGAAAGAAAGAAATTGCAACTGGGCAAAAGAGAATCCCACCCAGAGCCAAAGGAAGAAAATAGCCAAGCACAGACACACTCCAGTTGGAGGCGAGAATACCTGTATTGAGTAACAGTCAGAATAGCTCGGGGATCTGACCCAAAACCAGGCAAGTGCTGATTCAGGTAGGCCTCCAGGGACCTGATGTCGAACTTGTGCTGGGGTAGCACTTCCACGGTGTCACTGGTGACATCCATCTCCACGATTGCCACCGCTATCACAGAGTACAGAGGCAAGGAATCCACAGATGGCACCGAGGTGGCGTCAAGGTGGAAAACACACTAGAACTTGGGGGAGTGGTCTGGGCGGGGCTTAGAGGAAGCCAATCGCGTGGACTCTGGGTGCGGTTTCTAAGCCGATGTGGGCTGCTGAGTCTACTAATATGGGGTCCGGCAGAGAAACGAAGGAAGCGCCTGTTGTGGGCAGAGCTGGGGGCCCTCGATCTTACAGAAAAAGTAGGTCCCAAGCGTCATTCGGGCTAGTGACGACTCACACATCTTCCACCCTAGCTTCAGTGATGCGTCAGGCGGAAGGCCTGTGCGGTCCCACTAAGAAGAGAGCCCGCCAGGACCTAGAGCCCCGGAGTAAAAGACCCTGGTGTTTCTCATGGTCTCCTAGACTAGAAAGCAGCGTCGCCGTCAGCCTGCTCTGGATACACATGACACTGGCCCTGCTGTGACCTGGTTTTCGGTTCTAGAGAAGAAAGCCAACTCTTCCCAGGAACGGTTTTACCGAGGGGAGCGATGGAGGCGGCGCGCCGGAAGCGGCGCACCGGAAGCCCGGTGGGCGTGACGGAGACGTGTCTCAGTGGGATCCCTGGAGGTGCTCCCCGGGTGTCGGGACCAGGAAGGCTGTGTCCATTCCTCCTGCACTTCGCGGGCCCAGCGGAGCAGCGTGGGGCGGCGGCGGCGGCGGCGGCCCGGGCTGGGAGCGGCGGCCGCCGGGGGCTCAGCCATGGCCGAGTCGGTGGAGCGGCTGCGGCAGCGGGTTCAAGAGCTGGAGCAGGAGCTCGCCAGGGAGAGAAGCCCGCGGGCTGTGGGGGTCGACCACAGAGTGGGCGGCCGGACCCGCATCGAGAAAATGAGTTCCGAGGTGGTGGACTCCAATCCCTACAGGTGATCCTCGGCGGGGCAGTCAGGGCCACACTCCCCTTGAAGGGTTCAGCCGGCCTCCTTCGGCCCCTTTCTTCGCGTAGAGGTCCTGTTTCCAGATGGGCAAGGCCACGCTTACGCTTAGCAGAAGATAATCCTCGCCAAGCGTGGTGGCTCACGATTGATTATCCTAGTATTTGAGAAGGTGAGGTGGGGGTGGGCTTGTCCCAAGTTCCAGGCCCGCTTGGGCTGTGTAGTGAGACCCCTTCTGCAAAAGAAGAAAAATAACGTTTTATTAAAACAAACAAACAAAAAACAAAACAGTCCAAGCCAGGCATCCATATGGTGCAGCTTTTGTGCTCGCTGTCCAGCACCTAGCTTCTCGTCGCCTTTGTCTTTATTCGTCTACCTCGCTGATTGATAGTAAGCTCTGTCAGAACATAACATCTCATGTAAAGCTAAAGCTGCCAAGGATAGACTACAGTTTCCTAAAGACCTCTCAGGGTAACTTAGGTGAGGTAAGTAGAGGGAGAATTAGTTTCTAGGGTTTACCAGGGTGTTTACAAACGTCGCTGACTGTCGACTTTGCCAGGCCTGCCTACCCCTTTCCTTTGCTCTCCCTAAAAGGACTTACTAATTTGTGAGGGAGAATACAGAGCATTGGTTAAGGCGAAGGCCTGTGCATCAAAATTGAGTGCATTCATTTCTGAGCTAACTGAGTAGCCGGTAACTTCTAACCGGTTCTAACAACTGCCGATCTTCCGGTTTAGATAATCACCTGTAAAGTGGGACCATAGGAATGCCTGTTTCTGTCATAGTTATGAAGACTGAAGCAGTTTATGTGAAGTTCTTAGAACAGCAGCTGTTCATGGCAGGCCTCATACAAGACTGCGTTCCGAAGCACGCAGTTAGATCTTCCATTACATACGTTTTTCTTCTCACAACAGCCCTGTGGGATTGCTTTTATTTTGCGTTCACCCGGCAGGTGAGAAAAGTGATAGAGAGCTATTTTAGATGGATTTGCGTAAACAATAGGATCTCCGTGGCATTGGATTACTTCTAAGTAAATAAGGATGTAAGTAGTGAGGCTAAAAACCAGGTAGCTTTAACATAGGTGAAGTTCCAGAAAGAGGACTGTGGGTGCCGAGGGTCTGGAGACACTCTCACGATGAACTTGGTAACTCTGCATGTGAAGGTACGTAGAGGAGTTTTAAGATGAGTGAAAGCATATAGGAAATTGGGCATAAGGGAGGCCCAGCTGCTGCCTTGAAGAATGGAGACTATGGAAGAAAGAGAAGGTTCTAAAATACCCAGCAGTGAGCAGTTATGATCTCACCAAAATGACCAAGGTACTGGGGCGGGAAGTGTTTGTCCATCAGTGACGGACATTTAAGACTTAAGACTGAAAAGCAAGAAGTGAAAATAATGTAATAGCATGCAATTATAGATATGGTCACATAGATTTGAAAGTAGAAAGAAAGGGCTCAGCCAGAGGTCTGCTGACTTTCGTAACAGCCAAGGATCCACTTGTACCGTGAAGAACAACCAAATGAAAACTTTAGTACTTGCATATTTTATGTACATATGTGTATTTATCACAGTTCTCTCTTTTCTGCTTCTTCCCTCTCTCTCTCTCAGGATAATAGAGCAGATGAGCAGTAACTAAAATGCCTCTTAGAGTCCTTAGCATACAGCAGATACTTCCAAAAAACAGACATTCATTATGGGCAAAGGCCATGAGTTTATTTCACTGTCTTTATAATACTAACAAAGCAAGGGAACATAATGATGTTTCATTTTGACCATTAGGTGTAAATCTTGGCTACACATTAGGATAAAGAAGGTATTTTAGAAGAAAAATACTATTTCACAGGCTGCATCCAAGAGAGTTCATATTTTTAAGCTTAGTGACTTAACTTGTCTAGTAAAAGTTTGCTTTTAAGTTTAGTGGTCCATCAAATTTGTTGTGTACTTCAGGCTGGTCTTGAACTCCTAATCCTCCTGCCTCAGCCTTCCAAGTGCTGGGATTACAAATGCATGCCACCATGTCCAGCCAGAGTCCTCTTTTGAAGGAGTAGTAATTGAGTGATTTGGTGATTGTTTTCTTTGATGGTGAGTGTCTATAAATATCACTGTTAACTAAAAGATTTCAAGCTTGGGGCTGGAGAGATGGTTCAGTGGTTAGGAGCACTGGCTGCTCTTCCACAGGACTGAGGTTTGCTCCCTAGTACCCACATGGCAGTTCATCGTGCAAAACTCTAGTCTCAGGTGACCTGACACCCTCATCTGGCCTCTGCAGTCACTGCATGTACAGGCAAACATACAGGCAACCCACCCACACATATATTCAAAACAAAACAAAACTGCAAAAGCTCTAAAACTTTTTGTTTTTTCTTTAAGCCGTCTGATGGCATTGAAACGGATGGGGATTGTCAGTGACTATGAGGTATGATGAACCTTTCTAAGCTTCAGAACTTGATTTCAGTAAATGAGAATAATTTCTGATGACAAATCAAATGAAGAATATCAACTACCACATGTACCATTTTGTGTTCCACAGAAAATTCGTACCTATGCTGTGGCAATAGTAGGTGTTGGTGGAGTTGGTAGCGTGACTGCTGAAATGCTGACAAGATGTGGCATTGGTAAGGTAAAAAGATTTCTCTTTGCCTGTCCAGTAGAGAACTGTTCGCTCCTGGAGGAAATCAGGTACAAATTAGCACTCTCTGCTCATTCAGTGGTTTATTGAGTTCTGTTATATTCATGGAGATTGCTCTTCTCAAGAGGCCGAGTAATAGCTTTCTCCAGACAAAAGTTCATATTATTGCTGACTAAACAAAGGGTACTTAATTGGGTCCAGGAACTTTTGTTAGGGCAGTGTAAAGTGTAAGTAATTTGGAATTAGTTTAGATATAGAACCTGTTAGAAATGGTTCTGGGGTCCTCCCCACCCCAAACACCACATCGTGTATACTATTTTAGGCAGGCAGGAAGTTTACTTCTGCAGAAGGCTGCAAAGCCATGCAAAATCAACAGGCAAGCTCACCCAGCGGGGATTCTGCTGGGTTCTTATTCCTGATATAAGGGTTCCTGTGTCCCACTGTGCGTGGTCAGAGTTTGGCTGCACACCTTGCCACAGTTGGCTAACTGGAAATGGTACAGCTGAGGAACAAAGTACTAATTCTGGGAACAGGATTCAACCTTGAGCATTTATTTTCATTTTCAAAAGTGCCAACCCTTTAAAATTAAATTTCTGCCACGTGACATCTTTACAGTTCTTTACAAATGGAGTTTTGTCTTATTTAACCCCGTGATACTAAAGAAATACATTTAAGTGGATAAAGTATAACATGAAGTACTCAAATGTTGAAAATCTTACTAAGTGCTCAGGTAAACACACATGTAGTGGAATTGAATTTGAACTAGTGGCATTGAATTTGAACTAAGAGATGTTTTTGTTTTTTTAAATTTTAGCCATTTTGTTTTCTTCTTTTAATGGACTTGAACTATAGAAAAGAAGTAACCTGCCAGAATTTAATCTGCAAATCTTAGGTTTATAAACCCAGGGACAATTGATGTTACTTAGTGGCTGAATGGATGTTTTCCACAATTATCTGCCTTCTGTTATTTTCATAAAACATTCTTCAGTATTATTTGTCAGTAAGTTAATATTAAAATATAGAAGTGGCAAAAATAGTCCTCATTTATCAATATAAAAATGATGGATGCCAATAAAAACTTAAAATGCTTTTAAGAATTTTAATATCAGTGAGGTAGTGGTGGTGCATGCCTTTAATGCCAGCATTCAGGAGGCAGAGACAGGCTTATCTCTGAGTTTAAGGCCAGCCTGATCAACAGAACGAGGTCCAGGACAGCCAGGGTGACACAGAGAAACCCTGCCTTGGAAAACCAGATTAATAATAAATAAATAAATAAATGAAATATCTTTGAAGTGGTTTACAAAAGCAGGCCAAAAATTACTTGCATTTGACTTGAGTACTGGGTTGATTGATGGGATATTGGAGATGCTTGAGATCAGTAGTTAAAAGTTGAGTATGTGGCCATGTTAAAACAGACTGCCAGACCTCAGTTGTGTGGTTTTAATCCTGTAGGTGTCAGATACTCCTGAAGATTGTCATAACTGGTTTCCAGTAATCCTGACAGGCAAAAACTAAACACTGAGAATGATTGGAGCCTTGCCTACACGTATGCTAGGGAGAAAGACTTCAAGGTGCATCGCATATAGACTGTGTGTTAATGTTGGGGAAGTGCTTTTTGCCCCACTAACAAACTTCAGGGGATGCAGGTGATGCTAAAGAAGGCCTCAGCAGTCTTTCCTGGGGTCTGCTATCATTAGAATCTTGGAAAACTTT